ATATTAAGTGATCAACTTAACCTATAATTAACCAAAATAGTTGGTCCACAATATAATGAAATAGATAGACTATATTGTATGTAGACTGTAGTGTTCCCTGGAACATATTGTAATGGCTGTTACTTAATTTAATTATCTATGAACATGAGGGTTGATGTGTCACCCACTACAAGAAAAATGCACATAAACTGCACATGGACCATAATTTTTTTTTGCGATGGCAGTATAATTGTCGTTAAAAACACCATTAACCACACATTTTTTTATTTACCACACAAAAATGTGGTAAAAGCTTAGAGACGACAGTTTTAACCGTGGCCAATGTTTTTACCACAGCTGTTGTGCCGACGCACGTAAAACTGTCACAAAACTGTCGTAAAAACATAAGGAGGAACATTTACGACAGTTTTGTGTCAGTTTTACGTGCGTCGCCACAACAGCCGTGGTAAAAACATTGGCCACAGTTAAAAATTGTCGTCTCTGACCTTTTACCACAGTTTTGTATGTGGTAAATAAAAAATGTGTGGTTAATAGTGTTTTTAACGACAGTTATGCGGCCATCGCAAAAACAAAATTGGTCTATGTGCGGTCTATGTGCACTTTTCTTGTAGTGACCCTGATGCAAATGTAAAATTGGGTTCGGGTGACTCATATAACTGATATAAGTCATAAACTCATAATGCACATGAGCTGAACCATACTAAAGAAATGTATTCAATCGATTAGCTTGTCTAACCCATTACTATAATGAACACAAAATACGATTTTTAATACATAGTCATGGCTATAGTGATTATGTAGGTAGAGTTTTTGCGGTGAATTGTGACCTTGGTGATGTTCATGTTTATTTAGTGACTTTAGTGACTATGTAGGCAGAGTTCTGTCCATAATTTTTTGTTTGACCAACATTATATGAAAAACTCATATGCCTATTTTAATGTTCCTTTCAAGCTAGGAAGATGAGTGTGAATGTTTCATAATTACTTGCAGAGATTATCTGCTTGGATTGTCGTTCGCTTCTTGGGAGTTTATAATTGCAAATCTTAATTTGTTTATCACTGTTTCTAAACCCATCATTTGTTTTAGTAAAGGAGATTAGCAGATGACATCCATGACCCTTTGGCTCCCTATGGGTCGCCTTTGAGCATAGATTTGGAGCTGGTATAGATGTGACCGGCACTTTAGAACTACAAATGAAGGTGCAGAAGGTTACTAGAAAGTTTTTGTCACTTAACCCATCATTTCAACTCTTACAAGTGCAAAAGGTAAAAAACCTACTATATAGTGATCTGGGTGAAAGTTTTAGCTTTTTGGTCTAGAGTGTAAATCAATATCTATTACTCCCTCCGTCCCAGGGAGAAGTTCCCGGGTTGACTTTCACACATTTTTAGGAAGTAAAGTTACTGAGGGGTAAATTTTACTGTTTTGCACTGTTTCGACACTGTTTGGCACTGTTTCGACACTGTTTGGCACTGTTTGGCACTGTTTTAATGTAGGATAACTTTCCATTTAGGGAAATGGGAAGTTTCTTTTGGGACATCCAAATAAGGAAATTGGGAACTTCTCCCCGGGACGGAGGGAGTATCAATCAAACAGATAAGATACCTTTCAAGCTTGTAATGGTACCCATAAATTATTTTGATAGGTATGTGGATGTGCTTTCTAAATTATAGCCATCAATGATTTAGGGTATTCTTCATTGTGACACATCAACTAATTCGAATAGATATCCACATGCAGGCTGAGGTTCAGACTTCATTAGCATATAGTTTAATGCAGTTTCATGTCAAAAGTGCTCTCAAATATGCATTTGGGACGTTGGGTGGACCGCTATCAATAACTGATTGGTGCAGAGATCGTGGTCATTTCAATATTGCTGCAACATCAGGGGATGGAATTTATGGCAGAGTCTATTTGAAGTGAAAGTTAATGTCAAGCAGCTCTGCACGTTTTAGAAAACATTGTTATCCTACTGGGGTGTATATACTACCGGTTCGGCATTTGAACTTGGCCTTTTTTTTCAAATCACTGGATTTGAAACACAGCCTCACCGAAAAAGACTTGGTAGAATCTTCACGTTTATCTCTGTAGCAGTGGATAACCAAGAATTCTCATGATTGATTTTGCATTTATTCATATGAATTAGTTGATCCGGGAGTTTTTTACAAGAATATTACTAAAATAAAATTTATTTACATAAATATGATTATTCATTACTATAACGTAGTGTTGTGGTAACTTAAGTTCAAAACTTGAACATGAACTACTATGATTTCATTACTATTCTAGTAACTACTCATATTTGTGTAAATCATCTTTATTTTGGTCATATTTATGTAATTATTTCTTGATCCGGAGCAGAAGTGCAGTCATATTATTTTATGGAAAGTCTGGAAGGTCGTTTTTAATAAAGGTGACAACTTCGGTACCTTTCTAAAAAATGGGGTACCGTACCTACCACCCATTTGATTGGACCACATCACTTTATCATTTTTAATTTAGGTTTAAATAATTCAACTGCTACATTCTCATTGGTCCATGTGGACAAAGGTATGGTACCTTATGGGTACCATAGAATCTACCATAAATAAAACTTATTGTAATATAAAACCTATAACATTCCATATTTTATCTTCAGGGTCTAGGGTCTGTAAGTAATACATGGAATCAAAGACATCTTTGACAATTCATATCTAAATATTTCCCATAAGATAAAGGTTAATGATAAAAAAGGTTTCTGTGAAAATACTCAAACTCCGCATTTCAAATAGTTCCACAATGCCACCGAGGCACCGATTAGAAAAGGCTACAAAAGATTCAAACTTTATTCCCATATTAATGTGCTTAGTACGTAATTTGCTTATTGCTTATTGGAGTGGACTTCTATCAATAAGAGAGTCCAGCTTTTCCTGCAGACTAAGGGAGTGTTTGCAATTGCTTCAACTTTAAAAAAGTGATTTTTTAAGGTGATTTGGGAAAAAAGTGATTAATAGTAAAAGTTGGTAGTGTTTGAGAAAAAAGTGATTCTGAAAAAGTAAAAGTTGGTAGTGTTTGGTAAAATAAGTACTTTTTGTGTAATAGAAAAAGTGAAAAGCAGTTTAAAGCACCCTTCCACCTGCTTCCAGCTTTTAGTTTTTAAGTGATTAATTTAAGCAGAAGCTGTCATTTGAAAACACTCTTTTTAACTTTTTTTTAAGCCAAAAGCTGAAAAGTGCTTTTTTTAATCAACTGCAAACACTCCTTAACTCACTAACTTAACTTGCTCCCTGGTAACCGATTTCCTAATCTCTCTTGCATTTGGTGTAAACCCTACAACAAAAATAAAAAAAATAAAAAGCCAGTTACTCATTGGCAGGGAGGTGCTATTAAAGTTAATTCCCTTCCGCCACTAAAATAATTATATAAACAATGCAAAAGAAATTGTGTTACCGAAACTTCCATAAAACTGCCATTCCAAAATACTTCACACGGATATCGTGAAGGTTGTTTTATATAGCTGAATTGCATCAAGCTTCAGCAGAAGATTCATTATGGTCTCCACAATCACATTTTTCTGCTTGTCGATCATTGTGTCATCAACAGCCTTGTCTGAAGAGAACTCCAAAGTATGAATAGAGTCCTTTAACTCAGCCACTTGCTCACTATGTATTCTTATTGAAACCACAAATCTTGACAACTAACAAAATATATCCATATTTTAGCCGATCCCGAAATCTTTTGGGATTAAGGCTTGAATGTTGTTATTGTTGTATTATACTCAATCACTATGTATTTTGTTTAGCTTTAGTGATAACAGCAAATTGAATTTGACATGTTCTCAACTTGTTAACCGGTGTTTTTATATTATTTACTTTCTACTACGTATTACTACGTATATTATATTGTTAACGTATGCGTTTTTCCCATAAACATGCATAATAGAAAATCATTTAAAAAGATGACTAAAAATTAAGAATTACCTAAAATTTTCTCCTCAATGACAAGAGCAGAAATTTAAACTGAAAAAAAATACAATCTACAAACGGTAAAATCGAACTGAGACAAAAATAATCTTATCTGAAAAGAAAATGAAAAAACTAGCCATACAAACAACTCGACGTTGACATATCAATAAGAGCAATATACGAAGTATGTGCATACACAAAAGACTCCCCAAACGCAAAACTTATGTATGCTAACATTACCCCTTGTATGGTTGGGGATTTTGGAGGGGAGGGAAGGATTAATTTTTTACTTTATTAATTTATCTGAATTTGTTAATTTTTGACTACAAATAAATATATAATTAGTTAAACCATGTATTTTTATATACTATTGTGTCCCCATTTTATTTCAATTTTATACATAATAAAAAGATGAAACCCACTAACAATTTATTTGCTTGTATCATGTAGCTAACTACGTAGTAGCTATGTTCATAAAAGTATTAAAAAAGCACTGTACCAGAGTACGGACCTACACTTGGGGATAGGGTGACTTAGGGAGTGTTTGCGATTGTTTGTGCTTTTTAAAGTGATTTTTTAAAGAGATTATTAGAAAAGTGATTTGTAGTAAAAGTTGGTGATGTTTGGGAATAGAAGTGATTCTAATTAAAATGTAAAAGTTGGAGTGTTTGATAAAAAAGTGATTGTGATGGTATATATTAATGAAAAGTACAAAAATAACATTTTTTTAACATTTCCCACGTAGGGTTGGGGGATTTTGGGGGGTTATTTGAGGGTTATTTTGGGGGTTAGGGATTTATTTGCCATTATCATTAGTCATAAAGTTGGGGGTATTTACAACTTTACCTAGAAGCTATTAAAAGCTGGGTTGGGGTAGCTTTTAGATTTTGGCTTTAAAGCACTTTTTTTAAGTCAAAGTTGGGGTTACCAAACACTTAAGATTGCTTTTTTTAATCTAAAAGCTCCAAAGCACTTTTTTAAGCCAACAAAAACACTCCCTTAATTGAGCCAGGTTTTGTTTTACTTCCAGACTATGTTTTTATCTTTTAAATTGGACGTGATAATTGGATGAAACCGGAGCGTCGGATATAATCATAACGATTACCGTACCACTTGACTTCGGAATCGTACCGCTGCAGCCGTATTCGTATCTTCTGTGTTGGGAGAACCATTACTGGAACTCTGGAAGTCTTCTGCGTTGGGCTTAAGAGAACGATACTCCGTTTAATTCAGTTTCCTTGACCGTCAACTGTTTGCGTTAGGGACTGAAATGCAAATTAGTTACTCTTTAAATTAAATAATTGCAGATGTACCGTACCTCTGCAATTATAAGATGCACGGTAGAAATTTCCTTGATATGATTTCATAAGCAATAACCAAACTTAACTACAGAGAAAGATCTCAAATTCTCTTTGTGCGAGTTCTGGATTTTAATTGAAGATATCTGCAATTCGTTGCGTTTTAAAATGGCTCAGCCTCTCGTGAAGAAGGACGACGATCGAGACGACGATCGTAAAGCTTCTCTATTTTATAACTAGTTCTAGTTTTATGCATAAAGCCGTTAATTTTTGCGTTATTGTATCTAGAGGAAATTCGGAGGCTTCGCTTCTGAGGATTCCATTGACATTCAAGCACATCAGATCTGCATTGCACTATATTTTCAAGTTTATTTCAGTCATGATATGAATCTTGACGTGGCTAAACTGATTATTTATATTAGATTCCTCAGAAATGCAGACACAGTTATAGTGGTTAGAAGTTTTCATATTGTGATCAGTGACCACCACGTCATTGTAATTTTTTAATATGGGATCTGGGTTCCAGAATGTTACCAGAGAAGTGTCGGTTTCAGTCTGGAGCTAGTATATGTTAATGCCTTGAGTTGGTTAGAATAGAGCAGGCTTTCTAGACTTTTGGGGACTTGTGTTGTGATTGATGTGCCTTTCACTATTCATTACATTGCAGTGGACTACTCTCCATTCATGGGGATAGAAAAGGGCGCAGTCCTACAGGAAGCTAGGGTCTTCAATGACCCTCAATTGGATGCAAGAAGATGTTCACAGGTCGGGTTCTTACTTTAATGTCTCTATGATATTGGAATTCTACATAATCTTTTTTTCGGTGGAACTGAATGGTTCTCAAGCATGTCTGTTTGGCATATTTGCAGGTCATCACAAAGCTTCTGTATCTTCTAAATCAGGGGGAGGCATTTACAAAGGTTAGTATCTGTTGATGATCATCTACAACAAGGAAATCCATAATAAAGAAATGAAGTGCGCAGGGCGGAACCGGGACACTGGGCCGGTACAAACAATTTTTTTGGAAAAATTTTTATACGGGACTTTTTACACTAAAAATAAATATTTTTAAAACTTGGGGTGGGTCAGGGTTGGGCCCCCCTTGCTACGCCTCTAAAAGTGTGGTGACTTCTAATATATTGTTGGGTAATCGGCAGCATGGTATGAATTCTGAATGTGTGTGATCTTTTCTCCTCATATTATAGTTCCTGAGTGAAGAGATCCTTTTTTAGTTTTACATTGATCACATTGTGCTCTACGGTGTCAATTGCTTTCTTCCCCAATGTACTTTTGTTTTAATATTCAGGTTGAAGCGACCGAAGTTTTTTTTTCTGTGACCAAGCTCTTCCAGTCAAAAGATATTGGTCTTAGGAGAATGGTTTATTTGATTATCAAGGAGCTTTCACCCTCGGCAGATGAGGTTTGATCCGAGTTAGTTTCTTTGACTGTTTATCATACATATATTTTTGCTTCTTAACGAACGTGACATTTTCTTTTCACGTTAAAGGTTATCATAGTAACAAGCTCCTTGATGAAAGATATGAACAGTAGAACTGACATGTATCGAGCAAATGCTATTCGTGTCCTATGTCGAATCACAGATGGAACCCTTCTCACTCAAATTGAAAGATACTTAAAGCAGGCTATTGTTGATAAAAATCCTGTTGTTGCCAGTGCTGCCCTTGTTAGTGGAATCCATTTGCTTCAGGTACTATCATTGAAGAAAACCTCTTCTTACTTTTCACATCTAGTTTAATGTGTGGCACAAGTTTTCTAATTAGTAAATTGCATGTTAGACAAATCCTGATATTGTGAAGAGATGGAGCAATGAGGTGCAAGAAGCTGTTCAATCAAGGGCTGCTCTTGTTCAGTTCCATGCACTTGCTCTGCTGCACCAGGTTTGATGACCAGTGTCTTGGATGGATAATCACACGTTACTTAAACTTATACTCCCTCCCTCCCTTTAAACTTCGCCAAGTTTGACCTGCACAGAGATTAATAAAGTAAAAACTGTGTGGTTGAGGTTTGTGTAGAGGAGAGAGAATTAACTGGAACCACAAAATCTATATTAAAAGGGAAAGTGGCAAATTTAATGGGACAACCAAAAAAGGAAAGTTGGCAAAGTTTTAAGGGACGGAGGGAGTACTAACTACCATGATCAGTTTATCTTAAATGCAAGGCTGTGCCAACCAGAACTCTTATTACCCGTGTGCAAATTTAAGGAATTGTTTTATGAGCTTTAAAAATTTTTATTATGAGAAGATGAAGTAAACCTTTACATCCTGCCGTAGCGAGTGGATGGAATGAAATTTATTGCATTGCAATACTTTTTTAGCATGCCCTCTTTTCCATTGGTCTTGGAGCAACTGATATGAATTGAGTTTGTCAACTTGTCATCTAGATTACAAGATGTGCAGCATGATTTTAAACAAAGTGATTGTGCATTCATCTTTAATCCATCCTTCAAAACAAAAATTTCCTACTGCTAATAATACTTCTACTTCCATTTCCATGTGTTTCCTTTGAACATATAAATTATAACTCAATTCCAATCTTATTCCACAATTTATCAGGTGGAATATGTATACTTTTAAAGTTTATATGGCATAGCTCTCCTCATTGAAAGGGGCAGAAATATACCTCTTTTTTGTGTTTCTGGTTATTGTTTCCATTTCAACTACATGCTGTGCTGTTTGATTTTTTATTCTGACCATAAATCAACATGTGGGCAACAGATGTACCTTTTTGAACACACACTCATTAGTGTAGTACTGTAGTTGAGTCTATTTCAATTTCTGAGTTCCAGTTTTTGCTGTTCTCTATGTTTATTTTACGTTACCACTTACTACAAACCGAACATGAATCTCCAGACTATGCAGTATAGAAGGCTCTTAAATGAAAGACAAACTTTGACTCAATGTTAGCATAAAATTCAGTTATTTTAGAAAAAAATGTAGTGACTAAAAGTCAAACATTGTACTTGCAGATACGGCAAAATGACCGTTTAGCAGTCAGTAAGCTAGTCACTAGCTTGACAAGGGGGACAGTCCGCTCACCTCTGGCTCAATGCCTTCTGATCCGTTATACTAGCCAGGTACCTTATTTTATATTGAGCATAGTTCTTGAGTATAAAATGGGTTATTTGGTCAGTGTGAGGGTTTGGTTCACTACTCACTATTGCCCAGTTCAACAAGTCTCCAACCCTATTGTTTGAATATGTGGTAAATGTGATTTTGCATCTCTCTAGGTCATTAGAGAATCTGGAGTTAATAATCAGACAGGTGATAGGCCGTTCTATGATTACTTGGAGGGTTGCCTCCGTCACAAGGCAGAGATGGTTATTTTTGAAGCAGCCAAAGCAATTACAGAATTGAGTAGTGTGAGTAGTCGGGAGTTGACTCCTGCAATTACTGTGCTACAGCTCTTTTTAAGCTCTTCCAAGCCAGTTCTTAGGTTTGCTGCTGTCCGAACATTGAACAAGGTGAGTCATCAGGACATTATTTATTTAGTTTCTTTAAATAATTTGTATTTGGTGTTTTATATTTTGAGTTGTATATTATATGCATTTTTCTCTCAGTGAGTTTTCTATGCGTCTTTTAACGTATTTACTAGAAGTGGATCTGAATTATTTTCTGAATATTGTAGAACAAGGAAACATACTGTCATCATATCTTGGGGAGGGATTATGTTCATGTATATTTTGCAATGAGTAATTTTTATAAAGCCTTTTTAGCTGGGAAAAAGTTGTTTGTTTCCTGAATCCCTGGAGTGGAGGATATGAACACTTTTTCTTTTCCGTAAAGCCTGTTACCCTTTTTAGTGAAGCGCTGTTCCTTAAATTATGCAGGTGGCAATGACACATCCAATGGCTGTAACGAACTGTAATATCGACATGGAAAGCTTGATCTCAGATCAAAACAGAAGCATAGCAACACTTGCCATTACGACTCTTCTTAAAACTGGCAATGAATCAAGTGTTGATCGTCTAATGAAGCAGATCTCTAATTTCATGTCCGACATTGCTGATGAGTTCAAGATCGTTGTGGTGGAAGCCATCAGATCTTTGTGCTTAAAATTCCCCCTCAAGTACAGATCTTTGTGAGTTACTCATGGGCTGATTTCTCCAGAACTTAGTGATTGATATACAATTATACAAATGCATCGCTCATATGATTTATCCCTAAAGGCATAAGCCTCTAGGCATTTCAATCCCTGCCTCACACTGAGGCACGGCATACTGTCATGGAGAAGTTTTATGCCTGAAATGCCTCTTTGAACCATTCACTTGCTTAACAAATGGTTTTTTCATTTAAAGAAACTATTCCCTTGATGCTTTCTATGTGTTTTATTTACCCATTAATCTATAGGATGAATTTTTTGAGCAATACATTGAGGGAAGAAGGCGGGTTCGAGTTCAAGAAAGCTATTGTTGATTCAATTGTGATTCTCATACGAGATATTCCCGATGCTAAAGAAAGTGGGCTCCTTCATCTCTGTGAATTTATTGAAGATTGTGAATTCACGTATCTTTCCACTCAGGTTAAAATTAACTTCTTTTTTCCCATTTTAAATTATTGTCTTCCAGTTCCTAGGTAATTACACATGCCTTTGCCATATTTTGATGCTAATAATTTTTTCTTATTCGTTTTCAGATTCTACACTTTCTGGGAAATGAAGGACCTAAAACATCCGATCCCAGCAAGTACATTCGGTACATCTATAACCGTATCATACTAGAAAATGCAACAGTCCGGGCTACTGCTGTGAGTACATTAGCGAAGTTTGGAGCCATGGTAGACTCATTGAAGGTATGTTTGGTCTTTTGGAGAAACTTTATAATTAGCAGTGGAATAACCTAAACTTTACTTTAATATTGCTGCAGCCTCGCATCTTTATCTTGTTGAAACGATGTCTATTTGACAATGATGATGAGGTTAGTGCTTTTTTTTTCTATCTATATGTTTTCTCATTGAGATTTGGGATCCGATTATCTTCTCCTCTGTGTGTGTGTGTGGTTGTTCTGTTTAGATAAAGTTTCCTCTTCTCATATACACCCTCTTTTCTTAAATAGCTGTTGATTTTGTGATCTTTCTTGGATAAATATGACTTTCAGATATCAAAAAAGCAATAATTGCTTTTTTCACAAACATAATACGTAGCATATTTTCATTGCATTAATGATATGTGGTATTCCAGTCATACTGTAGTCTTTATCTTGATGATAGAAAAGTTTCTTCTAGTTTCTTAATGTGTACTTATATAATTGTATTTAAATACCGTAAAAGACAGTGGTTGGAGAAAAGAGGTAATATATTTTGCTTTAGCAGTTAAATTACCAAGTAAGTCTTTAACTGTTTTTTAATAACTTGAGAATGATTCCTATTTTCAGGTCCGTGATAGGGCAACACTTTACCTGAACACCCTAGGAGGTGATGGTGCAGTTGTTGAAACGGCTGAAGAGGCAAAGGAGTTTTTATTTGGATCTCTTGGAGTCCCATTAGCAAATCTGGAGACCAGTTTGAAGAACTACGTCAGTTTTTATTTCTAGTTTAGACACTTGTGGTTTTTCTTTTTCTTACATCAACCCTTGTGGTTGGATACTTCCCCTAAGGGTTGTTCCGTGCTTTGTGTTCCACACTGTCCTTAAGTTCATGGTTATAAATTCCTTCTTATATTTTTGTTTGTAAATTGATTTCTTTTGCGTGAACTGCTGCAGAATCCCTCCGAACAGCCTTTTGACATCAGTTCTGTACCAAAGGAGGTTAAGGCTCCACCCGTTGCAGAAAAGAAAGCACAGGGCAATAAAAAGCCCAGTGCGTTGTCTGCTCCTGCTTGCACCACTCCAACTCTTGATTCATATGAAAATTTACTTTCCTCCATTCCAGAGTTTGCAAGCTTTGGGAAGCTTTTCAAGGTTTATTTGGATAAATTACATTTGATAATTACGATATTGTTTCACTTTCTCCTGCTTTCTTCTTCTTCTTCTTCTTGAGTATCACTTTTATATATATGTTCAGTCATCATCACCAGTGGAGCTTACAGAACCAGAGACAGAATATGCAGTAAATGTGGTGAAACACATATTTGATAGTCACGTTGTGTTCCAGTTCAATTGCCTGAACACAGTTCCTGAGCAACTGCTAGAGAATGTAATGATTGATCATTTTAACTCCTAACACTTTCACCCCAACTCTGTAATTTCCCTTTGTAAAACATTTGATTTGCTTGTTTTACCTACCAAATCAGGTCAGTGTTATTGTTGATGCTTCTGAAGCAGAGGAGTTTTCTGAAACAGCTTCTAAACCACTGGACTCCCTTCCATATGATACCCCCGGGAGATCATTTGTTGCATTTGAGAAACCAGAAGGAGTCCCTGCAGTTGGGAAGTTCTCCAACACACTTAGGTTCCTTGTCAAAGAGGTGCCCCCTGTCCATATGGCTATGTTTGGACCCCGGAAAATGATAGGAAAAATAAACAAAGTGCTAAGGGAGCCTAAATTAATTTTATCAAAACTCTTAATCTTTATATGTATTTGAATTTCTTAGTCTTTAGCAAGATATAAATAAAATGAGTTTGTGCAACTATCTAGAATTGAATTATTGTTTTTGAACTAGTTTTATTTTCTCTACACTCTTGTAAATTTCCACCATGTTTCCTCCCTATCATTTCCTGGTTTCCGAACAGACCCTAGATGTTCTCAGTTGATCCTGTAATTCATAGGTGCTAATAATGTTGCCAACTCTTGGACTTATTTGTTTGTAAACTAGGTTGATCCATCTACTGGAGAAGCAGAGGAAGATGGTGTGGAAGATGAATACCAGCTTGAGGACCTTGAGATAGCGGCTTCTGATTACATGATTAAAGTGGGTGTGTCCAATTTCAGGAATGCCTGGGAAAGCATGGGTGCAGATTGCGAGCGTATTGATGAATATGGTCTTGGCCCAAGGGATAGCTTGTCCGAAGCTGTAAATGCCGTCATAAAACTTCTTGGCATGCAACCCTGTGAGGTTAGTTGTTTTTCTGTTTCATTTTCCTTTGCAGTTCTGCTTGATGGGCTTTCTAAAGTTTGTTGTTCCAGTCTTTAGGCCTGATGTCTTTGGATGCATAAAAGTGCTTTAAGTGGCTCTCATAAGTGCTTTTACTTGATAACTCTTTTCATGCATGAACTAAAATTCAGCTCTAATTTGAGATAACAAAATGTAATACTAGTATAACAAACTTAGTTTAAGGGCAAAAATGAAATGTTAATATGTGATCTAACAATACTTACCGGTGATCTAAGATAATAAATTGCCTCCCAATAACCATATTCACATTACTAGGGTAGTACTTGATCAAAACGCCCCCTTAGTGCCTTGTTAAAAACACTTCTGACTTGATAGATCAAATACTAACTGATTTGGTCCAATGACACTTTCAACCAAAGCACTTCTGTCAAAAGTACTTTTTCCACCACTAGGCCAAAGGAGAGCCTATTTTACATATATATGTATGTGTGTATAGGGTAAGGATCAAATGAGAATACCATCTTAGGAGAGAAATGAGAATGATTCTGGAGCGTTGGATTTGAGCATCGTGCATCATGTAAAACAGAAACGTGCATATAAAAAATTGGAAAATTTGCATTTCGTCTGTGCAAAATTTTAAACGTAAACGTGCACATTACAATTTTGCATTACTTTAACCATAAATGTGCAGTTTCGTGAAGGATAAAGTGCATCGTTTTGGAGCGTTCTCATTTCTCACGTTAAGATGTATTCTCACCGGAACCGCACCCTGTGTGTGTATATATATATATATATATATATATATATATATATATATACTTCGTATATATATACAGGATTATTCCTGTCCGGAATTTCCGGACAGGAGCTCCGTCCGGCCTCCTCCATTTGGGGGCCTTCCCGGTGGTATTTTTTGCTCACTTTTTTTTTGTATGTTTCTCATCAAGTCTAGTTCATCCATACCAAATTTCAGCAAAAAATTCAATTGGGAAGGTCGTCAAATGATTTTTGCAAGTTAACTGGTCCGGAATATGTATTTTCCGGAACAGTTAACTTGCAAAAATCATTTGACGACCTTCCCGATTGAATTTTTTTCTGAAATTTGGTATGGATGAACTAAACTTGATGAGGAACATACACAAAAAATTTGAGCAAAAAATACCACCGGGAAGGCCCCCAAAAGGAGGAGGCCGGACGGCGCTCCGGTCAGGAAATTCCTGACCGGAAGATTACTCTATATATATATATATTTTGTCTAGTTAAATTAGCAAAGAAGTGTAAAAAAGTCTTCCTTGAAACTAAAGTCTTGAGTTTGTGTGACATCAGGGCACAGAGGTTGTTGCTAGCAATTCAAGATCGCACACATGTCTATTATCTGGTGTGTACATAGGAAACACGAAGGTTCTGGTGCGGCTATCATTTGGAATTGATGGACAAAAAGAGGTTGCCATGAAGTTAGCCGTTAGATCAGAAGATATATCAATTAGTGATGCCATTCATGAAATTGTGGCAAGTGGTTAGTTTTTGTTTTATGGAGAGATGAAAACTGCTAGTCATTTAGGTTGAGATTGGTTTTGCTTCATGTGTTTGAGGTCAACACCATTGGTGTACATTAGTTCTATTTTTGTGTACTTGTTCAATAGATCTAATTAATGGATTTAATGATAATGAAATAACAATAATTTTTGTTAAACGGTAAATACATTTGAATACACATTTACTAATTAAAAAATCGCTCCAAATTAAACATAGACAAAGTGTACATATAGTGAAATAGGAGTACATATGTTTTATTCCCAAAATATGAGTTGTATCTTTCTAATAAAAGGGAGAAAGAGCAAATGTACCTTTGGACTTTATGTGTAAGAGTAAATATACCCGTCAACGTAATGTTGATACAATTAAACATATAATTATTAAATTTAGAAAAAAATGTACCCTTGAAGTCTTGAACTATATTAGAGATTGGCTTTAAAAAAAAACTACATTAGAGAACATATATACCTTTAACTAGGGTTGGAGCCGGGCCGGCGGTTCAAGAATGGGGGCCCGGGACCGGCCCGGGTAATCCCCGGGTCGGGCCAGGCCTCAGGTACTTGCAATTTTTTTTCCCTTTTCCTAGTTAACCCCCCCTCACCCACAAACCACCCCATACCACCCCAAATGGCCCAAAATACCCAGCCCAACCCAAAAATTGAAAAAATAAAATAAAATAGGCCCGGTACCCAACCCGAACCGGCCGGGCCGGTTTGCCAAAACCATGACCCGAGCCCGGACCCGCCCTCCCCCCCGGGCCTAGGCCTGACCCGGACCCGAGAACCGGGCCGGTCCCGGTTCCGCACAGTAACGGGCCGGTCTCGGGCTGGGTGGCCTGACCCGAATTCACCACTACCTTTAACCATTTGAAAATAAGGGTATACTTGTACACTCTTCCCTAATAAGAAAATAATGATGCTCCTATTTGTGCATTTTAACTATGTTTTAATTTTTTTTAACAATGTTTTACTCTTATTTACGAATAATATTTGGATGTTCTATCTAGCACTATGATTTTCTTTCCCATTCATGATGTGTTTGAAAACTTTAAAGTTCCAAACCTTCAAAGCTACTTTTATAATCATTATTAAGTATTCCAAGTGGGAAGTTTCATACCCAATCATAGGTAGTATACTTTTTCTTAACCAAATCAACAAAACAATTTCGGAAATTGTCCTAAATAGGACTAATGAGTTCCTCAAAAGCACAAATAGGACTACTACTTTTAAAATTCCCTAAATAGGACTAAACATTGATTTTCTACCCCAAATAGGACTAATAGCACAAATAGGACTACTACTTTTATAATCATTATTAAGTATTCCAAGTGGAAAGTTTCATACCCAATCATAGGTAGTATACTTTTTCTTAACCAAATCAACAAAACAATTTCGGAAATTGTCCTAAATAGGACTAATGAGTTCCTAAAAAGCACAAATAGAACTACTACTTTTAAAATTCCCTAAATAGGACTAAACATTGATTTTCTACCCCAAATACCCCTAAGAGTATTAATTCATAATGAAATGCTTTAATTCATAATAAAATCATAAAAAACGTAAAAATATTTTAAAAACGTAAAAAAATTATAAAAAATTTATAAAACATTTATAAAATAAAAAATTTAATTTTTTAATTTTTTATTTTTATAGTAAAAACCCATAAAAAATGAAAAAAAAAAATATGGATACCTTTCCCACCGCCTCCCAGCACCACCACCTCCGATTGGTGAAATTTCTTCCACTTTTGATAAAAAAAATGCCATATTTTTCTGAAAATGCCAAAAAGATGGCATAATTACTCTTTAATATGTCAACATTTTCATTGAATATGCCATCATTATGGCATTATTTAAAATGTTGACATATTTTTCTCCAGTGATGGGAGCTGGTGGTGCTAGGGGTGGCAGGGGTGGTAATGTTTTTTTTTTTAATTTTATGATTTTCTTTTTATTTTTTTTATTTTTTTTTTAAAATATTTTTTTATTTTTAAAAAAATATTTTTATTAATTTTCTATTATTTTTTTTCGATTTTTATTAATTTTTATGATTTTATTATTAATTAAAACATTTCACAAGTTAGAAAGGTATATTTGTCCAAACACACATAAATAGTCCTATTAAGGGAATTTAAAAAATGTAGTCCTATTTGTGCAATTTTGCCACTTTTTAGTCCTATTTAGGGAATTGACTCCAACAATTTTAAAAGTATAAGTGCTAATTTTGATTTATTGTTGTATATAATTTTTTTTGTCAAAACTTTACAAGTGTTCAAGATGTTTTTACTTGTTTCAATCCCACAACAAATCCGACTAGACAAGACTAAAACAAATCAGACTCAGACAATTATAAAATACACAGATACCAAACATTTACTAGACCAACTAAACCGAAACAGAAAATAGCAATCCAATTAAAAACATCTTACTCTTCATTTACGAGGGATTCGGTAAGCATGTTCTCCCATCCTTAAAGTTTTCATCTTCTATCAAAATTTCAGCCCAATACATTCTTCATTATAACATACGAACTCCGATGTATTGACATCATTGACATGACAAACATACATACTATCTAATTATCCCGCTTGAACGGTTCCAAGTGACGGTTCTAGTCAATTCCCATTCAAACGGTTCCCATCGGGTCATTTTACCACCCAGTTCGGGTTCAGGTTGGTTCCAAAACATTACCCACCCCAGCAACAATTCATTGTTATTAGCTAGGCCTTGAGGGTTGATGAAAACAAAATGGAGTTTACCAGCCCCACATTAATGAAGGGGTATTTTTATATTAAAAGTGAACTTTGGAAGAGTAGTACTGTTCCAAAATTCAAGAAAAGATCAGGTGGATATGGGTGTTTTGTCACTTATAGTTTAACTCTTGGATATATTTATACTTAGCCCTAACAATAATATTACAAAGCTCCCAGACAACTCGGAAAATAATAATACAGATGCATAAACGATTTCATCTCCCTCATAGTGTTGCCATTATGAAGGATAAAAAGTTCCAAAATGGAAGAAGTTGCCATCCATCTGGTTCATATCACCTTTCTGACCCCTCCGAAAGCCCAAATCTGTAAAGACAGTAGAATATATTATGTCCTTTAATATTTTAACTCTTTTAGAAATTTTATGATGAGCCTCTTGATTCCACATTAATGTGATCCCTGGCTTTAATTTTTTTACATATAAATGTGATCTTTAATGTTTTCTCATGTGCCTCATTTAGTAAACACCAATCCGCTCATTCCAGTTATCACCACAATAAGTTGCTTTTGAATTACTTATTTGCCTACATTCGATTTTACCAAATGTTTTTGCTTTCAAAATGATCAGCAAATCCTGCCAAAATAACTTTATCGAACATGGTACTTTATGACTGGTTCACATAGTACCAAACTATATATCAGATCAAACTAGATTTAAAAAGACAAAACATGACTTACATGGACCTGACCGCATTAGATAATAATAATAAAATACTCCGTACAATACTCTTTGCGTATTAAAATATTTGCTGCAATAGGGTTTGACACAATATTTAATGGAAGTGTTTAAACTAACACAACTGGAAAATCCTGAAACTAACTCTTCAACTAGTGATGATACCAACTAAGGCCAATTTGTGATTGGGGTAGAGGTTAGTGTCAAAACGCTTTTCAGAAGTACTTCTTACTTAGTATTTCCGTGGTAATTGCTTTTTTTGGCTGTTCCAAAAACTTTGTCACTTCTTTTGATCAATTATTTTGTGGTTCCTATTATTTCTCTCTCCTTTGCACAAACTTTAATCATACAATTTTTACTTTATTATTCTCCTTGCTGGTCAAATTTGGCAAAGTTTTAATGGACGGAGGGAGTATCAAATGGGACCTAAACAGCAAAACTAACACAACTGGAAACCTATCTGTCCTATCAGTGAGTCACATATACAATACATCTAGCACATTACATACTACGTATTAACAGAAACAAGTTGATGGACCAAAAGCACAATTATAATAAAAATTGGTAACACATATTTTATGGCACAATGATAACACAAACCTTGAGATTTGTATCCCAACTTCCTGTACACAATGCACTTCCATCAGCTGATACTCCCAAACAGCTTATGCGGTTATCATGAGAGTTTTGAACTGCACCAAGATCTAGGACCACCTGCAGTATAAAAAGAAAATACAAACCAAACTCTCTAATTACATTGAAATATCTTCCTTGAATTGAATAAACAATATACAAAACCAAAGGTGAATACTTTTACATATACACGCAGTCACAATGAAATAGCTAGCAAGTGAAAAATTAAGTAATACTCAAATACTATATTTTGAATAGGATTAAAAGATCATGCTGATGGTCTAAAGCAGTACAACTTAATACTAAGGTGTGCTGATTAATGTTTGCTGTGGAGTATAATTGTAATACATGATGTCCCACATCCGACAAAAAATGATGGTGGATACACGACCCTCAATATAAAAGGATGTTTGGGACTTAAGCCAACCAACTAATAAGTGCGTCATTTAAAAAAAATGTACAGTTACACACTGCTGTGGGTTATATGCGAGTGTGTGTAGTAACATAGCCGAGACCCTCATAATTTTGAAATTGGAGCGAGCCAAGATAACAATCCATTCCTACTACTTCAGTTCCAATCAAATCTTTTCTACTCCTATGGTCATCTAAACTCTCTTTTAATATCTGATTATACATATCAACTTTCATCATATTTGCATTGGGTTTTTGAGGCTGAATAGAACTTTTACTGTACTTATCAACAACATGCATTTAAACTATTGTTAATATTTTAAATATTTTAAGGAAGCAGTTGACTTTGTCTTCTCTTAAACATCTCAAATCAACACAGGAAGATTAAAAATGGATGGACTCACATAGGGAGTATAAATTTTGTGGTATCAAATTTAAACATGAAAAAAACTTTTTTCCAAACTTGAGGTGGGCCAAGTCCCAGGTTCTCTCCCCCCTCCCCGCCCTACCTGCACACGCATGTGTGTATAATTCACACACTTTTGGTTCTTTCCAATAAACCCGCACCATAGAGAAAACATATGCAAACACAGCCCTATAGTAAAACTATCATATACCTTTGCCAATAGAGTGTCCCATACATAGCAAGCTCCATTGGAGTACCCAGCAAAGAGAAGACGGCCAGAAATTGAGAAAGCAATGGAAGTCACGTGGGGGAGTTCATTATCACTACGGGACTGAGAGTAGACTTGTAATTCATGCCCAGTCCTAATGTCATATAATCGGCAAGTCCCGTCATCAGAACCGGTACCAAATCTATTACCATCTGGAAAGAACTTGACGGCGTTAACATCTCCTTCATGACCGTGGAATGTACGGACTGCTCGACTAGCCACACGAGTGTCCCAAAGGCGGGCTGTCTTATCACACGACCCAGAGACAAACATTCGTGTACTTGATGTGCTGACCGAGACACTGACATAAAGCAAGAAGAGAATTAAATTAGAGATAAAAATCTAATTTAAGCTAATGAAGCAATCCGAATCCTTAAGAGTTTAATGTGGGACTCTAGCACACCCCTTAGACCCGGCGGGGCTGCACATCCCTAAACATGAAGTTCACAAGAACACAAATTCTTTGGTCAGCCCTAACATCAGACAACCTGGGGCCGGGCTCTAATGCCATCCATATTTGATTTATTGGGCATAACACCCAATAGGTGTCTAAAAAAGTGGAGGATTTCCCTCACATTTAAGCTAATAGAGGGCCGATTAAGAGCCTGATGCACGATTCTAAAAAATATGTGGATTTATCACTGACCTTGACACTTCAGCAGTATGCCCACATTGAAACTCACCCCCAAATGCAGAAGTTTTCAGACCGGTAGTTATATCCCACAGAAAACAAGTATGATCTCCAGAACTTGTTATTAAGTGAATCTCATCATCTGGAATATATTGGCACGATGATATATAACCCTTATGCCCACTAAGCATTTTGGACACGGGTAAGTTCCCATCTCTATCAAGAGGAGTGTTCAAATTGAAGATGGAGCAAACACTGTCCAGCCCTCCACAGGCTACAGACTGTCCACTTGGAGAAAATGCACATGTCATAACCCAAGCACATGGTAGCTTAATTGCATGTGTCTTCTGGCTTGTGAGAGCGTTCCATACTATTAACCTTCCATCTTGAGATGCACTGACGATACGATTCTTTTCAGGAGTCCAATCCAGTGAATACACCTGTTGGTTTGAGGACTTAAAGATATTGCTAGGTAACAACCAACTAATTATGTATATATCATAAGAGCCTGTTTGGTAAGGACTAAAACAGCTAGATCTGCTGAACTTATGGCAGGATTGGCTGAATATTCTGAATTGTCTAACATGCTTGTTTGAAAAAAGATTTTTTGAATAAATTATACTGTGTAGAAAACAAAATCCAAAAATGAAGGTTAGAAGTGTCATTTTCAATAACTTCAGCCACTTCAGCCAAATAAGCGATCACCGCACTACATTTTTTATTATCAGCAGATGAGAGTCAAATAAGTTGATGTTTGGTAAAATATTTTCCTGGCAAGCTGAAAATAATGCTTACCAAACAGGTATGTTGAAGAAAACATCTGAAATCCTCATGAAAAAGGGCATACATTAACATGATGGGGATTCTGTTATGTACAACATAAGATGCGATTAAGTATTCTTTCTATCCTTGTTAGGTTTTACTACTTATGATGCTATAGAAGAATCGGTATCACAATTGCTACAATAGGTTCTGGGAAGTAACTCAAGTTAGATGTACTTGAGGAAGTAAAGCTCCTCCATTGATGCTAAATTAGCATCAAGTAACCACCTAGCATATATTTCCAGATTATCAGGTAGGTTTTAGATCAATGCTTTCTAGATTACCTGCTTTGGGTTACTACTCTAATACAAAATTGGTAGACCATTCACCACTTATAAGGGTCTTATAAATACTTGAAGAAGGGAAAACACACCAACAAGACTGGGCACCGATCTTGCAGGAACAAATACTCAGGAGTAGAAGTGTTCAATTATTTATGTCCAAAATTCCAAAATATTCATAAGAAAAGATATATGACGATATATGACAGATGATCACGAATCAAAAGATTAGGCTGTTGTTAAATCGAATGATTCAGTCAAAGGAGTATGAACTTTCATAGATTGAAGAGAAAAAACCTACCTTGCCCGTGTGCCCTTGCAGGGTCCGACAACAGACCAGATCTGTCGGGCCGAAGGTGACAGGAGTTTTTCCTTGTGACTTGGCATAGTTAGAGACTGCCATAAATTCGATGGAAACAAGACGAGATCCTAATTAGTCATGCTCCAACTTTCCTATGAAACTCAAATTTCACTAAAACATAAATCACTGAAGGGGAAAATAGTAAAGGAAAGAAACCATCTGTATCTAGGAGACGGCGGCGCTCCTCCTTAAGCCGGTCTCGGAGATTACTCACGGTCTGCATTGCAGCCGTGTGCCGCTCTCTGAGCTCCGTCACCGACATTTTTGTTTGTATTTACTTTTTTCAGCAAAAACTTCAGCTCTTACAAGTTAAAATTCGTCTACCACCATATTGCAGCTGGACTTCAACCCTACTTCACGGTCACATCGACTTCAACAGAAAATTCAAAGCAACAATGCAGAAATTCTCTGATCGAAGAAGAAAGGATAAGAAAATGAAAACAACAAAAATTAACTCAATGAGAAGATATGTTTTGGAAGGCAGGTTGGCCGGGAAGTGGTCTGAGCTCAGGCGGTGGGGGTGATTTAGGAATCGGAGATTAGGTAATCAAGAGGTTGATGATGGAAATAGAGAACTTCAAACCGCGAGTCTAGTCGCTTCTGCCCCCTGACGGCTGACGTGCCATTTTCGAAGTCTTGTGACAAATGTTCAACACGCAAACTTTGGCGTAGACTGTTTACAGTGGTTCGGTTTGGGAACCGCCATTGCTCTTATTCAACTAAGCTTTTTGTTGTTCTACCTGAATCTGAATCATCTTACACTCCTTCAGTCCTGAAAAGTTTGGCATTACTTTCACCTGTAATAAAGTAAAAATTGTACGTAGTAAAGTAAAATTGTGTTATTAAAATATTTACCGAATTAATTTGAGTCACATATTCTTTACTTTAAATGGAAATATGAAATCCTTTTTAGACATTCAAAAAAGGAAATTTGGTCAACCTTTCCGGACGGAGGAAGTATTTGATTATTTGATTGTACTATCAAACTTCATACTTTGACTTTACTGTTATTTTATGGTTATTACGTAGTAATAAAGTAAAATTTTTATTTTTTCTTATTTTTCCATCATACCCCTCAAAAGGTATATTTGACGTAATGGCTGAGAAAAACTGAGTGTAAAATAGATACTAGTAATAAATTAAGTGTATAAGAGAACTTTATATTAAAAACTTAACAAAGTATTATTGAATTTATTTTGGACTTGTCAAAAAAACAAAGTGTGAAATTTATTTACTCAAACAAAATATTATTTTTTCCAAGTAATGATTTATATATTACTAACACAAAATGACTAATCTACATTATTAATTAACTTTTAGTGACTTCGTTAAAAAAAAATTAATGACTATTATTATTATTTCAGAAAATGTCCAAAATAGGAGTAAAAACGTTTTGAAATTTCAAAATAGGACTATCATATTTTTTATTCTCTGGATGAGATTAATCTATCAAGTTTGAAAAAAAATGTCATGTTTAAAGCCTAGTAATGCCGAATTTGGCAGAAATTTACTCTTATTCAGAGAATAAAAAACACGATAGTCCGTTTTTAAAATTTCAAAACGTTTTTACTCATATTTGATGAATTCTCTCTTATTATTTTCAGTTATACAACTACTCCCTTGTTATACAAAGTATTTTTTATAAAGGGTATGAGGCATATCTTGTTTTGTTTTTAAGTTGGATTTTTTTTTCTTGTGTTGAACCTTTCCCAATTTATATCGATCATTTATATTCAAATCCTGCTCTTTTGATATCTTAAATCAGATTACTCCATCACTTTTTAATGATCTTTCATCAGTCAAAAATACGATCTTTCATGTCAAATTTATTTGTACATAGAACTTGAAAAGAGTTACTCCGTATGTCATACTATCGTATTTATGATGACTCTCATAAATGTTAATTATTCACGCAACTTGAATGATACCTCTATGATAAAATCCATCTAGTCCTTTGCCCCAAAGGTTGTGTTTTTGAGAAGGATTCGTTGGCCGGCTGATGTTAAAGTCATTTGACCCACTGTAATTATTTATTGTGGAAAAATAAATGTATAATTATTTTTAAAAATTATTACATATCGTTAATTCAGAAGAAAAATGTTCTAAAACAGATAAAATAAGATGCAAGAAGAAAAGAAATGATTAATTTCGAAGTAACTAAGCATATCCTTCGTTGGTGTCTATGTATAGAGGATAAAATTATTATTATAAAGTAAATTTAATGCATAATAAATAAAATTAGGGAGTTGGGGATAGTTGACGGGGTTGATTCAAAGTAAAATGTCATTTGGATTTTTTTAATTCGTTGGTCACAAAGCACATGTGAGCTCCCATTTGTGACCTCCCTTTTTTATCCTTAACTTTGTGATCTCCCATACTGAGGATCAAGTGAGGTTAATTTGTTTTATCCCCATTGACCTCCCATAGTGATCGCCCTTAGAATGCATGGGAAACTATTCATCACAAATAAAAATGTCTTTCTTGTGTTGAATGGGAGAGATCCAACATCAGGGACGGATCAAGGATTTCAAGTCAAGAGGGTGAAAATTTTTTCATTAGTGTAGGGGACGAATTTTTTTCACTAGTGTAGCGGAGCGATTTTTTTTCGCTAATGCAGTGGGGCAAATTTTTTTCGCTAGTGTCACGTGAAGAATTTTTTTCACTATTGTAGGGCTCTGCGGCTAATTTTTATTCAAAAAATTCATTAGTACATACACTATGACATTTAAATCTATTATATTCTAAGTTTAGAGAATGGAATGCAACCGTAAATGCTCGAGAAAAAAGTATTGATACATCAAAACATAAAAAATTCCAAATCAAAATAAATTTATTTGAAAATAAAAAAGGATATATAACATTTTGTCAAATTACTTGAAGGTAAAAAATTTAAAGGTACACTACATCAAGCAATGTCTTTTAAATAACTTATGTCATGTTTAACCACATGAATCTAATCAGAACAAAAAATTAGATTTTTAATTGTAGTTTTTGTCTACCAAGTAGGGTGTTCATGGATCAGGAGCAATTTTCTTAATATTACAATAGTATGTATGAGACTATGAGATTATTATTTTTAGAATAATATTATAGGTAGTATTGTTAATTCATATATATGGTGCATATTGTATTTGTATTAATGGTAAAATATTAAAATACGTTAAATTTAATTATTTATGCAATAAATTGCTTTTAGAAAGTAAGAAGTAAATGAATTGTATAATTTAATGTCAACAAACATTTATATTTTGCATTCACTTCACATGATCTAAAAACCATTTAATTAGTGTGACTGGTACTCTGATATTTAATATCATTTGATCATTTACAAAATTTAGTACTAATTATCTAATAAAGATAATTAATAAATACATATTACAAAGCTAGCAATTTTTATATAATAGGTATGTTAAGTCTTAAACTATCTAAATTATTTTAGATTTTACTTCTTTTAAATCTCCAATTAAGTATTACACTGTATAAGGTTATATATTAACTTTGAAAACTAAAAGTTAAGAGGAGCGAAAACATATATATCTAATTAAATTATGAAAATTTTATGAAAATACCACATATAAAAATTTGAAAGTCAACGGGGCGGTCGCCCCCCGCCCCCTACATCCGTCCCTGTCCAACATGGGTGATCCACTTGATGTGTTAAATGGGAAAAGTTGTTCAAGCAATTTAATATCCGGAGGTAAAAAATTAATTGGTTTCAAGATTAAACAAATTTCATCCCCTTTTACTAAAAAGATAATCAATAAAAACACAATTTTCTACTACAACTAACACATTTTTCTCCTTTGGCCTTTTGATTAGGGATAAGTCTCAAATTGAATACTATGATTTCATGAAAATCTCATATTGAACACTAAGATTTCAAATGGACCAAATTGGATTCTGTGATTATATATGTATCTCATATTGGACACTAAAGTTTCACAATTCATAGTTTTTGGACACTCACTTATTGTTCTTTTCTTCCTTTAATAAAAATCGTTAGTTTTATATTTTCTTTCCTTTTTGGTGAAAATAAACTACTTGAATGACGTATATAATTTTGAAATATTTAATTTGACATTTTATAATATATATAGTTTGATTTTAATTAATAACTTCTTATATTTAACAATATTAAAAATATATTTAGGACTTCTCATTCATATGATTTTTATGGAACTTTTTTTTTCAGGTAAAAAGAACAACTTTTAAATGTGTAAAGCTTGAGGTATCACATACATAGAGAGTATATCACATACATAGAGAGTAATAAACTTTCTTTGTAAGCGATGGAGGATACATGTCCCGCTAAAATCTCATTCTGAAGCATTGTAGGATAATCATCTATCTATTCAAGTCCTTGATTTAGCGGTTTTAGATAGTGCTCGTCTAAATCCGCATTACAAGCCATTGAGGACAATCATCTATTGACTACTAAAATAGTAAAAGATGAAGCACACCCTCTAGGATTCCGATCAAATTTGCTTAAGATATCTCCCACATTTGCCACACTCATTACTTAAGTCAATTTCACCACAAATTGAAGCTCTTGCCGGTTCTCATCCGCCGATAATAGCTCGTTGAAATTATGTCCATGGAAGACTTGCTTCTGTCTTCATTTCATAAATGGCATCTTTTATGGAACTTTAAGAAATACCGATTTATTAAATTGATTTAACAAAATTAAAGAATTTAATAACATTATAATTGATTTTCTTAATTGAAACATCTAATTATATATTCTAAATCTAAGTACACGAATTGAGTTATTTTTACGTTTAGGAACATAAAACGAAGAGAAAAAAGGAATACTTATATATTTCAAAGGTGAAAACTTTGGTGGGTGTCCGGAAATGATAAACGTTAAATTTGATTCATTTGAAACTTTAGTGTCCAATATGAGATACACAAATAATCATAGTGTCCAATTTGGTCCATTTGAAATCTTAGTGTCCAATATGAGATTCTCATATAACCATAGAGTCCAATTTAATCCTTATCCCCTTTTGATTATTAGCAAAAAAACAAAGACACCCAAAGCTTTTAAAGTGTTATAATTGGGTAAAATACTAAATAAAATTTCATATGGTGTTCTGTGTTGAAGTAACGCAGAGGGTGTACGGTTTATCACATGAGCCCGAGTAACATTAAGAATATACCGGTGTTTTCTTTTCACGCAGCCATTTTGTTGGGATGTTCCCACACAAGGTGCATGAAAAATAATTCCATTAGTAAGAAAATAAATTTTCAAACAATTAAATTATGTAGCATGGTCACTACAAAGTGTTGAAATTTTGCTTGAAAATTGACGATCAATCATGGTTATAAGAGACATAAACTTATCATAAACTTCTTTTTTATCAACCAACTGATAAACCCAAACAACACGCGAAAAATCATCCACTAATGTTATGAAACTTTTAGCCCCACAAGAGGAAGTTGTGTTGTATGGTCCCCAAACATCACAATGAACAAGTTCCAATATGCTGGTGGTTTTATTTGTTTGAAAAGAATTCCTAGATAGTTTTGCCTTATGACATTTTTCACAAGGAATAGATAAATGTTTTTGCACACTTGCAGGAAATAACCAATGAACAATATTCTCATAAGGATGTCCCAGATGGATGTCAAATATTAATAGAAGCGGTAACCTTATCTATTTTTGGGGAGGTGGATATCAAATCGGTAGTGTTTTTTTTTTTTTAAAAATAAAGAACCCTTTCATTAATTCAATAAATCGTTAGCCATATGGCTTTCAATACAATCAGGCATAAAATCATACTTCCTCC